AAGATGTTTATGGGCAGATGGTTGCAAAGGGCTTGAGCAAACAAGTCTGAATAGCTGGAGTGTGTGGTGCTGACTTAAAACTTCCTAAAAGTTTTGACATCTCGAACAATCAAAAGTCTGTTGTCGCTTACTAACTGTTCTGGCAAGATAGTGTGCTGGAATATGTCATGCAGCTTCTGTAGCGATAATTGTAAAAATCTCTGGCTCTTCATGTCAGTGACTAACAGGAGTGCTCTGGCTTCTGATGTTTCGCTCAATAGCAGGCCAGGCTGTCTGACTCGAAGCATTCTGCTTCCTCAATTCTATGTCCTTATGGAAAAATACCTTGGATTTCCAGGCATAGCAGGTATCCTTTCCTGACTTCTTTGGGGTTTGAGTAGTTTCAGGCCCTTGGAAAAGCTGCCTGATGTGCATTTTGGAGCAGAGTGTGGACAAAAAGAACGCTTGACTTGTTTTCAGTATCAGTGCGTAGGTGCATCAAACTGGGTAAAGTTGTTTTACCGCACATAGGTAATTAGAGGTGAAGGGTATATTTAAAGCTAGAAGAGACTGGTTACAAGCGCTGCACTCTGTAAAGTGAACTGTTAGTGTGTTGCACGTTAAAGTCTGAGTCGTCTCATTGGAGATGACTACTCGACTGAGTTTAGGCTCCACAGCTGTAGCCTAAACTGCGCTACCAGGCATGATAACTATTTTCTTTTTTTTTTTTTTTTTCTTCTGATGGATATATTGCTTGCCTGCTTAGGTTACCTATGCAGGATGAATCTTTGTCTATATTGCAAATAGCAGCTGAATTGCAGCTTGCTTTTTGTATTGGTAAGAGGCTCTTTTCAGATAGTGCTTCTCACCCATGATCTCTCCCTGTTACTGCTGACTCTAACACCTCCTTTTTGTCCCAGGTTTTGGGAGGCTTCAGCAGCTTTGGTCACACAACAGGTTCTGCCATGGCCACAAATTGACCTTATTTATTTATTTAATCCACAGCTCTATCTTGTTTATACTCTAAAGTTTCTGCGAGTAGCAGGGATATAGACAGGTTCTCGTCCTCAGTGAGTTTCATGAATGAAATCTTAGAGCAGACTTACTATATCTAAGTACCAGCCTTTTCTCTGGGTATTGCCTCCTCTTTCCACCTCTTTTCTTCCACTGCATGAAGACTTTAAAAAACAAAATAGCAGCCACCTGTGAAAGAAATGCAGACGGCCCCGAATTAGTGTGTGCGATGTATTTATGTACATTCTGGTAGAATATTCATCCCTTTTCAACTCTGTGCCCTTTCCTCACTGGTCCTAAAGAATTTCACTTTTCAGAAGGTATTCTTTTAAATATGTGACAAACCTGAGTACTGCATACATGAGCTTTATTTAAATTACACAAATGCCATGTAAATCAACAGGGTTCTGTGTGCTAAGTGCAAGCTAAGTGCTTGTGGGGTGGCTGGATCTTGTTTTGAGGGATGTAAGACTACTTTTGCAGCACGGAACTAAGCTAAACTCTTAGCTGTTGGTTTCGGGATTAATCATCTCTGTGTGACCACTTCTTGCTGCATCCTTTCCAGTCACCTGTGTTCCTGCCCCCTGCTTCCTTGTTCATGCGTCTGAGATAGTTTAATTCTCTGCCTTATACTGCATAGTTTCACGAATGAGTGCTCTGAGAATTGCTTGGACTGACATTAGGAAAGGATGACCTTTTTCCTGACAGACTTCAGAAAAGAAATGGATGAGGCTATTGTATATTTTCTAGCTGCTACACAGTAATGGTATTTGGGCATTTTCCACAAGCTGCATTTTGGATCCCCTTCCCATTCTTTGGCCTGCTGGAGTGATGAGGTATAGAAACATGCATAGATAATGAGGAAGGAGCTTTCTCCAGACCTTCCAGCTCTGTCTTATCTTACAAGACTGCTGGACAAGCAGGATGGTGTCTGCCACACCACAAATATATCAGTATTTGAGGGATAAGGCAATAGGATCCTATGGCCAGAGGACTAGAAACCAGTGAAGAGGCACTGAGGCTGAAATGACTATGACTAAGCTTCTTACTCTTCATGAGTATTTTTGGGAATCTGAATATGCTCTGGTTATTGTTTAAGCAGAAGTATTTAAGGGGAATGGATTGCTTGCCTGTAGAAAAGCAGGATAAATGTTGCATCAGGGCTGAGGAGACTAGAATGTGCATTAGGGTTTGGCCTTTAGCCCAAACTCAAGGCTGGGGCTGTTGGTTTGAATGAGACTTCAGACATGTTTAGTTTGGGGGCTGTGGTCACATTTGTTTTCTGGAGCTTCCTAAGAAGAGCAGGTCAAAGTCAGACCATATAGTTGTTGGACAAGCTCAGACTTTCTGTCCTTCCTCCTCTCTTGCTCACCTGTTATATTAACTTACTGAGTTGAGACCTTTAAGGTGTAGATGTTTGCTTCTTGTCCTGTAAACTACAGAACCAGCTGAAGATAACATGGTTTTGAAGCAGAGGAAATATTCCCCACATAGTGAATATTATTGGACTTTCAAAAAAGTGAACTAACAGAACATGAAGGACAGAAGTCTAAACCTAAAGGGATGGGGGGGAAGACAGGCACAGGTGTTAGAAGAAGAGATCAGGACTTCTGGTGCTTAGGGCTAAAATGGCAGACCCTGTTTAGCTTTTCCTTAAAGTACTAAAGCTCCATAGGTGCCGCTACTGACTGAAGATTTTGTATCTCTACAATACATACATCCTTGTGCATACTTGGAAGTGCTCTGCTTTTGGCAAGGCTGAGTCCTATGTGTTTAGCTTGTGCATCCCTTCTGCTGGTGTAAACTTCTACCCCACAGCAATGGCGGGTGGGTTTAATGCTGTCTGGGAGATGAGGACTTGAATCCCCTCAGAAGTGGGGAGGTAGTTGAATGGGGCTGAGTGTTGAAGGAGGTGAAAATACATAAAAAGGAAGCAGTAATCCTGTAAATTGAGCCTTGAGAGGAAAGGTGTGAAAATCTGCCCTTAGAAGAAGGACCCAGGCCTGTGAACTACAAGTTCCTGGAGCCAGGATGAAGGCCTAGGATTGCCTCTATCATTGATGAGGAATTCAAACCTGCTTCCTTTCCTCCCTGTTATCCGATTCTAACTGTATAGATGGCCTGTGTGTTTGCAGGTTTTAGGTAAACATCTGTCTTCTCGAGGTCCTGACTGCTTGTGACCTGAACGGGGATGTCTCATGCCCAGCAAGTACTGCGTAGAGCGCCTCAATGGCCCTGGGTGGTTCCCATCCTACAGGACAAGCACTTAGACGCCTGGTCTTGCAGTGCTCGAGACAGACATTGTGTCTCATCCAAAGCTGGTGTGGCAACATGTTCTCGTCTGTTTTAAAATCTTCCTTTCTTAGATCATCATGAAAAAAAGCATGTTTTTTTTTTGTTTGTTTTGTTTTATTTTAAGAAAAAGCAGGATGGTAACATTCAGCATTTATTTTGGCTAGTGTATTTTGGCTCCTTCTAGCATCTTCAGTGTGGTTCTTCCCCCCCGCCCCCACTCCTGCTGGATTTTTTTGGCTTTCATGTAACTAAGTGCAATTGAATCTGAATGCTTGGACTGTCTCAGCGGGGTGCATTGCTCCAAGTACCCCGGTAAAACACAGGCCTACTTCTACACACAGGCAGGAGGGCATCATCGCATTTCTTCTCTCCGCCTTTTTCTTCTGGAGGAGGCAAAGGCGAGCCCGAGCCACCTGTTAGCATGACCTCATTGGCTCCCAGGAACGCAGTTGTACCAAAGGCCTTAAACAAAGTGGTGGTTCTTGTATTGTTTGCGCTCAAAGCGCTGATGTCATGCCAGCTGATGTCATTGTGTGCTTTGTGCGGTCGCTCTGGAAACCGGGCAGGTGGGGAGCCTGGCGCTGATGTAATCGCTGAAGGAGGTGTAGAAAGAGCGGCTGCTCGCCTTTCTGGCGCTGTGGAGCCACCCTCCTCAAAAAAAAAAAGAAAAAACGCTGCTTCACAAAGGAAAGCCCAACAGCATAACGCAAAATAGAGCCAGGGAAAATGCTGAGCCGCAAATTTATCTTCCCTTCCTCTTCACATCCATTTCCTGATCCATACGAATGCCCTAACGATAACTTTTGCTAGATATTTTCAGGAAGCTGGGGCAGAAGGAAGAAGGCAGAAGGAAGAGGGCAGTTTGGCACACATTAAGCAAGCACCTCGGTTGCTGGTACGCTCTGGGGAGCAGTGCTCCCTTGTTCAGCCACAAGAACACGTACTGTTTTCTGGGTGCAGTCTGAAGGAAAAGCACCTCCCCGCTCTGACCTTTGCCTGTCAGAGCTGCTGTGTGCTGCAGGCACCCTACAGTCTGCCCTCAGGCAAGTACATGGGCAGTGGCTGTGAGCAGGTAAAGTGAAAAGACCTATTTCAGCTGCCTTGCTCTGGTGCTTTGGTACTCCTAGATGTTGTGCTTGCGACTCAGGAATGTTTTGCCTTGGATAAACCCTTTTTCCTTCCACCTCCTCCCACAGACCTGTAGGTGAGGCGGCCCCAACCTGCCGATGTTGCACAGAGATGTCTTTGTGGGTGAGCATGTTTCTCCAGCCCCGGTCGTGCTGGGACCATACCAGCTACTAAGTCACGTTACCGCTTCTGTCAGCATTAGCCACCATGATGACCAGGATGATGGTGTGGGGGGACAGCAGCGACTGGGTCCTGTCCTGACTGCCGCTGTGTTGGTAGGCGCGCTCTGTACCACTGAGGGAGGCAGGCCCAGAGCACCGAGCCAAGGGCCGTGCCTACCTCGAGGTGTCTAACCGCGCTGTCTGCTTGGTCTCTCTTTGCAGGCGGCCTCAGCAGCTTCAAGCAGAACCACGAAAACCTCTGTGACAACTCCCTCCAGCTGCAAGAGTGCCCTGATGGGGGAGGCGGCGGCGCGTCTGCGGTGCCCCCTACGCTACCTCAGTCCATCCCCACCACGCCAGACATCGAGAACGCCGAGCTCACTCCCATCCTGCCCTTCCTCTTCCTTGGAAATGAGCATGATGCTCAGGACTTGGAGAAAATGCAGAGGTTGAACATAGGCTATGTAATCAACGTGACCACCCACCTGCCCTTGTATCATTATGAGAAAGGCATATTCAACTACAAGCGGCTCCCAGCCACTGACAGCAACAAGCAAAATCTCAGGCAGTACTTCGAAGAGGCTTTTGAATTCATTGGTAATTATCCTTGTCTAAAAATGCTTGGTTTTACCTGTTTTCAAGAGTCTTGAATGAATTTTGTGCTTCACTAACTTCTCCAAAGGCCAAGTAAGGCCGTATTTACTTTTGCTTGTATTGTCACCTACGCTCAGTCCCTAGTTTCTACTGGTTTTCACTTCATGACATCTGCTATTTAAGTTGGTTAGGGGTATGATTTTATGCATTGATAGCAATGCTTAACTCCACTCCTCCAAATTCAGGAAGCCCCATAAAACTGAGATTTTTTTTTTTCTCCTCTTTCTAATTGCTTTACATTTCTTCGTATCACAGTATTTTCTAGTCATTTTTTTTCAAGTAACTATCTCTGACAAAGACTGAGCCTTTTCTAACTTTATTTCAAGAGAAAAGTAGTGAATTTTCAGAAGTCTTACTGTAAAATAAATGAAAGTGGTAACTTCAGTGTGTATGGGAGAGTGGGCAGTGAAGGAAACCGTTGTGCTAGTAGTCTAAAGTTGGGGATATTGCTGAAGAACTAACCCAGCAGCTAACCCCATGTTGATCCTAGCCTTGCTAAGATGCACACAACATGCTCCTCACCCAAGTTTAGCGATGTGCTCATCTGTTCTAAAGCCAGGCTGCCTCTTTCAGCAGGTCTTGTCTCCTACCTGCACCTTCCATGAGGGCATCTGTTAATAACACTGAGAACTCTTGAGGGCCTTCCCTTGTGCCTGCCTGTACCTTTGTGGGCACAACTTCCTGCAGTGCATGTGTGGAGCTCAGCCTCTTGCAGTGCCCTAGATCATCATGCATGTCCTTAGTTTTCTAAAAAAAACAAGCTGGGATTGTGGGAAAGGAGCTGGTCCTTTCCCTGCTCACAAAATATAGCATGCAATGTGGGGTGTAAGTGTATTGGGACTTGCTCAGCTTGGAAATGCTGTCAGGGTCGTCAGGGACTGTCTTGTGGTCATGGCAAATCCAGAAGGCCATCTGGTGTTGCCTTCTGTAGGACCTGTGGGAGCCTCTGCTCCAAGGCAGGCTGTTCTTTGGCACTGCCTGGTCCTGCTGTATTTTGGCTGATAAGGTGGTGGAAGGAGGGTCAATTCACTGACATACAAGCTGCTTGTCCATACTCACTACAATGTAGCAACTGCAGAGGACTCCTTACCCTGTTCAACTGAGAGAGCACAACATGAAAACCTGACCTTTACTGTAAAGAGGTCTTCTAGGAGGAGCCTTTGGACCCAACATCCTGCCTCTGCAGGGCACAGGATTGGAGGATCTCTTCTCAGGACCAAATTTTTCCTGGGGTTCCTAACCCAACCTCAGCTCTTCCAGTAGTGTTGCCAGGTTGCCAAGAGAAAGCTATCCTGGTGTTCATATATGTGCTTTGCAGTGTGCAGCAATTCGTCATGTGAAAGCAGCTCTGCCCTGGTCAAGGGTGTGTGCGCCTAGGCACACAGCCTGCCCCTGCTTACTCGATGCACACATTATTCCTCTGAAGACAGGGGGCAGGGAGTCTTGCTTTGATCTCTTGGGAAGAAAAGCTGGGTCAGGAAATCCAGTAAAACCTTAGATTTCTAATTCAGTAAGAAAGGGAGATGCAGCAGGCAAAGTCTACATGGCGAGGAAAAAAAATGCTCCATTAACATCTCTTGAGGTGGTAGAAGAGGGAGGGTTTCATATCCATGAGATCTGTAAGATTAAAACTCTTGAAACTGTGCAAAGATCATTGTGAGGCTTATGACCTAGCCAAGGGCAGAGGAAATAGCCTTGCTCTGAAACGGTTTACTAAATGTCTGAAAACCATTTTACTTTCATAATTATAATTGCAGCCTGAGGGTCAGTCTTTGTTTTTTAATAAATATTTTCCTTTTTTTATTTTATTTTTTAATTCCACAGCACATTTAGCCATCTGGGAAAGTAACTAGTCAAAACCTTCTCTTAATCTAAGCTTCACATTGCATTTGAGGAGGTATAGAAATGTTTCAACAGCCTATAATTCTACATCTGTTTATTAAAATAAATAAACCCCTAAAAATAAAGCCAGATTTATTTTTAAATAAGTAAATTTATTGAAAACTCTCTGAGAAGATTAATCAAGAAAAATATAGTTACAGAACTTCAACTTTCTTAAATCTAATGGGCAAAAATGCCTGGAGGAAAGTTGGGTTCATTTATGTTTTTATAATACAGGTTAAACTCCTTTGTCTACTCTTTTTGGCTACTCTCAGCTTAACTGAAACTTCACAGCACGCTGAAAATTGGCACCTTACTTTTCCCCTGGCTTGATTTCACACAAAATCTTGCAAACTAAATCCATGCTTCTCCTGCAGAGTGGAAGAAATCTATCAAAGTTTTTGTACCTTAGAAGTTTTATCTCCTATTTAAAAAAAAAAAAAAAAAAGTGTGGGAAAGGGAGATAACATCATAGCGAACCACGCTCTATTTCTTGTGTCTTACCAACATGCTATCCCAGGAGTTGTCTTCCCTAAATTTGGTCTACATTGTATGTAGGTGATGCATCTCTTTGTTGGGGGAGAGTGTGCATGGCTGTGTTGTGCCTCCCTGCCCCTTCCCCACCAGTCCTGCTGAGAACTTCTGGAGAGGCATCATTCAGCCAAATTTGATGCTCTCTGCAAATGACAGTGATGGTAAATACCCTTTTCACACTGCTGAAGTTGAGAAGAAAAAAACAAAAAAGGGAGTTGAGAACAAGTAGGAACACACACAACTTGATACACAGCAAGAAATGAAGACTTATTTGAAGTTTCTTGCCAGTGCTGCTCAAATTTTGCTAAAAGTGCAAAGAGATAAACCTGATTGTTTTAAAGAGGAGCTGTAAAAGAGTGCCCTGTGGAAACTCATTTCAAGATTAACTTAGCAGAAAGCTCAAGTAATAAGGTTTTGAAATAAAACTGTTTTTGTTATGAATTTAATCTGAAAATACCTGCTTTTGAAAAGGGGGTGGCTCTCTCTGCAAGATGGGGGAAGTGAAGATGCCAAGGTAACACAACCAGGTTGTGGCAGAGGTGATTTTATCATAAGCTTTGACTTGCTCTGCTGGCAGTGCACACAAGCAGTTTGCCAGTGTCCCTGACCACATAGTTGGTCTAGTAAAGAGACGTAAGCAAACATGAAGATTTTCGGTGTTACAATGTTCTGTGTGTTTCATATTGAACAACTGTGAAATCCTTAGGGAAGATGAACTGGAGTGGACGGGGAGGAAAGGCTACTGCGCTTGTTCAACAACAACAACAAAACAAAGAAGCAAAATAGATAAAAAGGGATTTTTTACTGTCTTAATTTTCTTCCATTACTTTTAGTTTCCTTGAGATTTTCTAATTTGCAAACTGGCAAAGATGTTACTTTCTTCTTTCTTTCTCATTTCCAGAGGAAGCTCACCAGTGCGGAAAAGGTCTCCTAATTCACTGCCAGGCTGGCGTATCCCGATCTGCCACCATAGTTATAGCCTACTTAATGAAGCACACGCGCATGACCATGACGGATGCCTATAAATTTGTAAAAGGCAAACGACCAATCATTTCTCCTAATCTTAACTTTATGGGGCAGTTACTGGAGTTCGAAGAAGATCTAAATAATGGCGTTACACCACGAATTCTCACACCAAAGTTGATTGGCGTAGAAACTGTAGTGTGACCGTGAAGCTACAAGGAGGTGGTTAACAAAGGGATTAACGTATTCTTCACCTGATTTAGGGCAGTGAATGGGTGGGTTGTGGGTTTTTCTTTTTAGTTTTTTATTTTGGGGGGGAGGGGAGTTGGGGGCAAAACTTTTGTGAATAAAAACCTTCTTTTCCCGTAAGGAAAGGTTTTTAGAAGAGATCCAAGCACTCTGCAGTGTTTGATATGCTGTTGTGATTTCCTTCCCAGGAACTGACAAAGCAGGGAGGCTTTGGAAGCAAAAGCAGTACTTTTAAAAATCCAAACAGCAAGAAGAAATACTGGGCTTTTTTCCCCCCTCTCCCGCTACTTGTAGAGTTTATGGCTAAGTAGTCTGTGCAGGTTCATAGACTGAAGAAGTCTAAGTTGAAGACAACATAAACAGCCAAAACAGAGAAAACTCCCTGAAATAAAAGGGCCTTCATTCTGCCAAGGCTTTGCTAGAGGTAACTGAGCGAAATGCTCACTGATGCAAAGGAGATCAGAGCAGCTTAAAAAGTCTGCAAGGCACTTTTCATACTCCTGAGTCAAACTAAAGAAGAAGAAAAAAGTTTATATGGCGTGTTTCATGTTCCAGTTCTATTTTTCTATTTTGGGTTTAGGTTTGGGTAAGGTTTTAACAGTAAGGGACTTTGATCATTCTATGCCATATGCCTTCACTGGCTTCTTGTGCAATAATAATTTGGGGTTTGTTTTGAGTGTTGAAACCGATTAGAGTTGGCTGCCCACTAATAATAAAATAATAATTTTTAAAGTCTAATAAACGCAAGGGCAGCCAGCTTGGTTCAGAAAGGATAAATGAAGACAATTACTTTGTTCCTTTTTATGATTTTGATCCTGGTTACAGTGCCATAAACCTTGTTACATATGTATATCAGAATGTACAAAAATTCAGACGAGCAAAGTTTATTTAAGAATATTTTTCGCACAAAGTATTGGTGTGTTTCAGTTGTCTATGTAAAAAAAAAAAAGATTATAAAAACAAAAATCCTTTTGGAAAATGTGTGTCCTTTTATTTCTTTATTAGTTTTTCATTTGCTTTCTATGGGATGGGCTTTTCTTTTTTTTTCCTTTTTTCTTTTTCTTTTCCTTTTTTTTTTCTTCAGTGCATTTCCCTTTGACAAAACTGATAGCTCGTTTGACATCTCCGTCAGTGTTTCTGTTCTGTCCTCTGCTGGTGGAGTGTGTTTTCTTTGTTTTCGTGCTCTTACATCCTTTAATTTCTGTAACCATAATTTTCTCTCCTTCTCAGAGTGCATCAAACTTGGAGCTATTCGTCTGAATTAGTACTCTTGGCGAGGGCTTTGAGGGATAGATCTGGTATTCTTCAGCCCAATAGCCATTTGGAGAAATAAGAAATAAACTTTTTTTTTTTTCCATTCTTTTCCATCTCCATGTGATTAGCTTATTTTCTGTATTTCAGAGCTGTGTTATTTCTAGGAATACACTGGTCTCTTGTGTGCTTTACTTGGCTTTCCTGTAGCCCAGTGCTGTAGCAAGTTCCACGAGTCCTGCCTGTACTATTTTTTTCCCTCTTTTTTGCACATCTCTCCTTCATTGCTCTTTTTATTTTCTGGTTGCATCAGTGTTAAGTGTGGTGTGTAGCATAGTTGGTGTTTCTGGCTGATGGTGTCTCTTAGGTGGCTGACCCTTTTGTTTTGCTTGTTTGCATTTTTTTAAATGAAATGGTATAACCTGATCTCCTCTGGACTGTTATCAACTCAAAATTTATCTGTATGAGCCTAAAAAGAGTTAGAAAATATTTCTCATATGATTCTGTTGTGCAAACTGATATATCCCAGGAAGCCTGATAGCAGTGAAGGTTTCTCCTAAATCAAAACCTATGTGGACTGAACCAAGTTTAAAACAGGACCTGTCAGAAAACTTATGTATAATCACATTAGACATGTATATTTTTGTGGACATTTTGCTTAAAATGTTGTTACTATAAAGTATTTTCTTGAAACTTATCCCTTTATTAAATTATTTTTCTACTGCAATTGATTTTTTTTCTTTTCTCTGATCAGCATTGGTCTTTTTATTGGGACGTCTTTGACAGTGAATGTTGCCTGGGCAGCAAAACCACTTGAGTTCTAACTGCCCTTGGGGTTAAGGAAAGAGTAGCCTGACATAGCAAGCACAATGTATAGGTTTATGGAGTCTTTCTACCCCCAAGAGAAGGGGAAGTCCCTTAACATGCATGGTCTTCTTCCCACCTTTAATTGTGTTTGGGCTCTCCTTTCCAGCTGTTTTCCATGAGCTCCAGGTGCAAACAACTGCACTTGAGGGCCTGTCATTTGGTAGCAGAGCAGGACGCTAGAAATGCTACTTGTTACAAGAGGAATTAAAGCCTTTTGCAAAAGCAGCATTAAGGGTAAGGGTTGGCTCAAGGTTTGGGCATACCAGGCTTGTTATGTGTTAGTGAAGATAAATCAGTGGTTCAGCAAGAGGAGCATGTGAGCCTTCAGGCTGGAATACAGAATGTGAAGCACAAGGGGATAATGACTAAATTCAAAGTCAGTCTTTTGTTACTAGCTTCTCATTCCTGTGCTAGGTAGCTTGATGCAAAGGTCCCCATGGAGAGGGAGGACCTGCTACACTGAGCTGACTCACGGCAACCTCTGCAGTTAAACATCAACAAGCACGTGCTGCTTGGTATCAGAATCAAGTTTTCAGCCAGGGATAAATAACTGCCACTAGGGAATCAGATGTGCTTGCCCAGGTGAGACTCAACAGTGGTGTTACTGCATGCAGTAATGTGGAGGTTGGGCTTCCTTGCCCTGGCTTTGCTGTGTGCTGTAATGAATTTCTACATGATGGTACAAAATGATGTGAGTTTAACCTGCAGAGTTTGATGTGGGTGTGTTGGTTGCAGGAACAGGCTGTCTAGCCCTTGCTTTGTGTGTGCCTGTTCCTTTGGTGTTTGGGAGCCCTTGTGTGTGGCCTGGAGCTGGGTTGGAGGATGGGAAGATGTGTCCTACTAATGGCAATGGTTAGAAATGGAGGCCTAGGGACCACTTTAGCAGGATGTAGGTGAGGAAGAAATACTGATTATTCAGGTAGCATTTACTTAAACTGATGAATGACTGTTTGACATCTTTATAACTTGAGTACAGGAGAAATTAATTTCAGGATATGTATATGTGTGAGCCTGTCTGGGAGCCTTGCCTGCCTGTGTTGGGGAGAGAGATGCCTCCGCTTCTGATGTGTGATAGGATAACACTGCTGATAAATGTCTGTGTATCAGTAGAAAGTTGCTGTCTGAGCATCACATGTGCCCTTACACAGTGGGGAGGAAAAAACAAACAAAACACATATTTATCCTCAGTCCTAAAAGGAAGCAAGGCTGAAGGGGTAAAAGAAATTTAAGCAGACATTGGCATAATTTGGGGACAGAATTTCAGAGTGTTTGAATTTAAAGTCAGAATTTCTGACTTTAAAGCTCTGGCATGTTCCTTGCAGAATTGAGACTTGGTCACGGATCCCCTGGCCCCTACAGCTGTCTGTAACACTCCCAACCTCCCCTAGGTTGAGCTTGGTTAAAACAAAAACACAAATTAAGGGAATCATTTGCAAGTGTTAGGTATGTGTCCTAGTCAGGGAGAGCAGAAGCCCCTTTTCCCTGCTCAGTGTTAGAGTGTTAGCATTTCATACTTGTAGAGGCTAAAATAGTTATTTTGCTGTGAATTGATTACTTTTTTTTTTTTTTGATTTCCCCTTTCAGGGAGCTTGGGGTAGGCTCTTAAGTGCTTGCATCTGAGAACATTGCCCTCAAGACCCAGGTAATGGAAGTGGCTCCCTAGATCTAACTTGCAAAGAAAGGAAGTATTTTAGGAGAAAATACCACTTATATATTGAATGCATTTTCTATATAGAAATCTGGGAACTCTACTGAATTACAAATTATCAGTGTGTGGATTTTAAGAGCTGGTGTAAACCTTTGTTAAAGTTTAAACTGCTTAATCCACTGATCTTACTTTGTTAGAAGCAGAAGATGCTTTAATTTTCTGTGCTTGTGCTAAGTAGCCAGCATACTTCATTTTTCCGGGTTTCACCTGGGACCAAACCAAATAGCTTTTTTTTTATCCTAGCAATTGATTTTTCTAAGGTTTTCCTCTACTTTACTTTTCAGAAATACTGTGCTAGCATTCTAGAGAAGGAAACAAAATGGAGGACAAAAATTCCTCTCCTATCCATTTGACAAGTATAGGCTAGAAGTATTTCAAGATGAAGCAATCATGTAGGAGGTGCTTTGTTACCTTGTGTTGATAATGACCAGTGGCTAGTTGAAGGAAAGCACTCAAAAGCTTGTGCAGGAGCTGATGAGACCAAGACACCAGCTACAAGGAGTATAGGAAAGTGTCAAACAGACTGGAAAGCCTTTTGGCCTTAAGCCTTGATCAGCTATTGTAGTCTTGACTTTCACCATGTATTCTACAAGCAGCAGGAAATTCTCGCAGGAGCCCAAGGTGCTGATTCAGTAGGGAAGACAAAAATAAAGCATGCCATGTCTTCACTGAGTTAAGGAGGTGTTCAGAGGGAGGGATAACGTGTAGTTGATGGCTCTCTCATTAGCAGGTGTCTGCTTTCCTGTGGTATGTTTGCCTGCAGCCCTTGTAGGTACCAAGGAGGAAGTCACTGATGAGCAGGTTTCAAATGGTTTGAGTGCAGCCTGACATCAGTAGGTGATAATTGGAGCCCTTGGTTTTCCCCTGTGCATACCCAGGAACATGCCATTGGCAGCCGTGCCATACCCCCAGGAGTGGTTCTGAATTCTGCCAGCACCTGGCATCTTGTTGCTGCTGGGTACATTTTTTATCTGCCTGTTCAATAGGCTGCCCCTTTTCCTGGGCAGGTGCTTTCTTCCTCCGTCTCTTCTACACTGTTAGGCTCTTGTATCAGTGGGCACTAGATGTAAAAACAAGGCTCCTTCCTTGTCTTGTTGGTGCTGTTTTTGCATCTTATTCCGCCCTATTGTTCCTGAGATTAGAGGAAAAAGATTCAAAGCTATTCATTTTGGGGGGCGTGTTTCAGAGGTGTTCTTAACAAGCCCTGGGTGTTTTCAGCCTCACTGAAGGTCTCCTGCTTTGACCTGGATATTCTTCAGGGAGCACTTGCCCCAGAGAAGGCCATGCCAAAGATCTTCTGAAGCAGCTCCTCCTAGCAATCTTGGAATTGCCTTGTTATTAGAAGCAAGGGACATTATTGGGATGATGAATTACATATTGCAATTATCTCCTGAACAGTAATCCTGTCTCTCTGTTCCATGCTGTTGGAGAAGCTTGTCTGGTCTAAAAGGAGATGTAGCAGGGCTTACATATAGTTGGAAATCCTGATGGTGATTCAGTGGGTGATCATCTTTTTGAGTCCTTGTGGGTCAATATCCTAGAGGACATAGACATACCATCCCTTGCTTGTCATATTTATTGACTGAGCTCCTGCCCAATTTGGTTAGTTACAATCTGGTTTAATTTTTTCATCATGAGATGGCTGTGTGTTTGTCATGTGCTCCTAGGCTATGAGATGATTTTGCTAGAGTGAGCACACACATAAGCTCCTGCTTCAGGGCTGATTTCATTTCACTATTAAGAAAAATAAGCTAAATTTTTATTCCTGGAGGTAAGAGGTCCTGTATATGTGGTTGGAAGGATTTGTCCCCTCTCCTTACCCACTTCTCACCAGTATAAAGATACTTGAGAAAACTAACGTGAATCAGGGGATAAAGTTATAGCATGTAGATGAAAGTGCCTTTCAGCACTGCTGAAAGGATTGAGCTCAAGGAAAGGATTGAGCTCATTCCTGCCCAAGGAAAGCACTGTACGAGAGGTTAAATGTAATTTGACTCTCATGCCTTGTTTTTACACCTCTGCTTGCTGTACCTTAACTTCTTTGATTGTCTATATATAAGATGTGACATAGCAGAGGATGGATTTATCATGAAGATTTATTTGTAATGGAGAGATGAAAGAAGTATCTGGCACTTGGCAGTTTCATATCAAGT